ATCAGTGCATTACAGAAAATAATGAACTTTATCACAATATGCTAATTTTTTGAGAAGGACCTGTACACGAACCCTAATTAAACATTAGGTTTTCCTGGTTCTGGTCACTGTTTAGCTGATGCCTGTCGGAGACAGATTTAAACTAAAACCAACCAACCAGCCAGCCAGCGATCTGGGACAGATCAGTGTTGACAGTTTCAAATCTGTCTGCAAATTGTTCCAGGCTGAAGGGGCACCAAAGCTGAACGCTCTTTTTTCTAGTTCCATTCTGATTGGAGGAACTAATAGGAGGACTAAATCGTTAGAGCACAGGGAGTAACGACTGTTTGTTGTTTGTATTAAGGTGGTGAGGTAAGACGGGACTAGGTTTAGGAGGTTCTTGTAAATGATCGATATCCAGTGAGTGTATCTGCGAGTGCTGAGAGATGACCAGCCAGATTTGACATAAAGCTCACAGTGATGAGTGCAATAACTGGAGTCAGTAACAAACCGAAGAGCACTGTGGTAAATGGAGTCCAAGGATTGAAGGTATTTTGATGCAGCACTCATGTACAGCACATCACCATAGTCTAATATTGGCATGAATGTAGCAGCTACTAATAGTTTTCTGGCTTTGGATGAGAAGCAGGATTTGTTTCTGTAATAAAAACTTAATTTTAGCTTGAGCCTAGTGGCTATTTTTGAAATATGGGTTTTGAATGACAGGTCACTATCAATGTGGAAACCTAGATATTTGTATGTGGAGACCATTTCTATTTGCTTTCCCTGTTGGGTATTGATTTGCTGTTGGCTCTCTGATTGTTGTTTTCTGTAAATAATAATTAGTCCACAGCTGTGCCCGGATGGGTTTGTATGGCTCACTCAAACATGTCATCATTATTAAGTGGTGTTAGATCTGAACAGGTAAAGGGTAAAGAACATTGCTTATTTTTTTAACAGCAGCATTACCAAAAAAGGTAGAAGACAGTTTGTGTCCAAAACGGAAACCAACCTCTTGCAAGACAGTGTCTCCATTCATTTGTTGATTAATTAAAAGAAAATGCTGTACTTTGTACTGTACTGTACTGTACTTTGTACTAGCCCATTAGCCATCCCAACAAAAAGTTTCCTTGTTTACTTTGTTAGTCTCTATTGGAATATGAAATGACTAATTTAACTTTCAGTTGAAACACCTGTCAATTTTGCTATGTTTCAACACTTAGTTAAGGCTTGACTATATGTAGAAATAGTCAAGTCTTGACTTGACTATTTTTGGAGCAACTTCTTTTTGGACATCAGTCTTTTTTGAATGAGTTGAGAGGGTTTTCTCTTTTCAATAAATGACTATTGTACCTATGAGATGACATCACAGTGGCTTAGTCCACTGCACCTGTGGCCTTTGGGAGAATCTCAGAATGGCACGATTCCTTTCCTTCAAAGTACCCCTTAAACTAAGGGTAAATGAAAGACTTTCTTCATCCTTGTTTGCTTCACGCACTGATTCAGTGTACAGCTCAGAAGAGTTGACTGGATCTACTTCTGTAATCCAAGCTTGAAAGTAACATGACCAGAAAAGTGAATACAAACTTATTAGTGCATTCAAAGTTCAGATTCTATATACATTAAAAAATGACAGCAAATTAGTGATACTCAATCATCCATTCCAACCAATCATTTCCTAAACCCAATTCTTCCATTTAGAATAGCTTGAAACCTATTGCCTATCTCCTGTCCAATGAGCAAAACATGTGCTACATACAACCTGACCAGGTCAACATTTATCTCCAAACAACACAGACAGACATAGGAAAAATAACCATTCATACACCTAGGACCCTTTTCCGAAAGAACTTCCATTGGGACAGTATTTTGAAAAATAGTTTCATGTTAAATAAGTTGCTTGGAGATCAACCCCTGCCACATGGAAAAAAAAATATAGCAAACACAAACCTTTACAACAAAACTAAAAAAGTGCATTGCAGTCAAAAACATACACTTGTAATTACGAGAAAAATGTCCTAATGAAAAGATCTTAATGTAATATGAGAAACCCATATAATAGCGAAATACAGATCTCATAATTTCTAGATAACTGCAAAGCAGCCATTAACGCCAGTTGCCCAACATTATGTGGCACCCTTGTGATGAAGGATTTAAACAATATTTCATGATTATTTAGCAATAGACTTGGGTCCTAAGTTATTATAGTTAAGAACTCTCAGCCTGTTTACAATCTAACAGTCTATGTTATTTTTAAATATATACATTTCTTAATTTCTTAATGGAGACCCCTGTTCCCGTGTGTCATTCCCATGCATCCTGGTTCCCTCCCTGGAAGTATAAATTAGCATGCATCCTATGGCAAATTGGGAATACTTTGAAAAAAGTGTCCCTGGAGGTCCGGGGGTGTCACCACTTGTGTGTTACCCAAGACTGGGTACCCTTCGCTTGGTGTGGGGTCCATGGCTTGGCCCCTGAAGGTCCAAGAGCTCAAAGTGTCTTACCATGTTTCCGTAAGTACCGTTTGCATTTATAAGTGTAATTCTAGAAATTTTCAATTAGGATGTATTTTTATATAAAATTAGCATGCATTTATGTATAAAGTTAACATGTATTTTTGGGCCTCCCAGGCCCTGAGCTACCCAGGAACATGTCTCCCTTCCCCCTGTGTGCTCGCAGTGCATACCGGGGTCATTTCCCTGGAAGTACAAATTAGCATGCATCCAATGACAAATTGGGCCACCACTAGGAAACCCTAACCTGGTGGTCAGGGGACCTTCGTGTTCCCGAGCTACCCAGGAATGAGTCCCCTTCCCCCCGATGTCCTCGGCGGGCATGCCGGTATCCCTCTGGAAGTATAAATTAGCATGAATACCATGGTAAATTGGGAAGACTTTGGAAAAAGTGTCCCTGGAGGTCCAGGGGTGTCTCCGCTTCTGTTACTCAGTATTGGGTACACTTTGCTGGGTCTTGGGTCCATAGCTTGAACCCTGAAGATCCAAGAGCTCAAGATGTCTTACCAAATATGTGGCAAACATGTTGGTTTAATCCCAAGTTTACAGTAAAAGCAAGTAGCAAGTAGACTTCTTTATGAAAGTTTAATTCAAATCTGTTCAGTAGATAGTGAGATATTTTGCTAACAGTCAGAGTTGACTCCAAGTTTTAAACAAAGATCTCATCAGCTGAGCTCGAGCTTGATGTACACATTTGGGTAGATGACTTCATATAATTTCATAAGTCTAACAAATTTTTGTATAATTATTTCTTATAATGAGATTTTAAAAATCCAATTTAATTCCAGGTTATAGGGCAAAGAATACCAAGGGAAGTGAACACTTTTCCAACACTTCATCTCTGGAGTTCTGACATGTTTAAACTTCTGATAGGTTGTTAGTTTTGTGTTTCCTGCCCCCATCAAACTGTTCGGTATTCACACATCAGTGAAAGCAATGATGATGACAAACCACCAAAGTAACACAAAAGTCATAATGCATTTAAACAGTTCTTTAAAGCTTCTGGAGTGATGCAATCCCAACAGCAAAAAGCTGCTCATTTTTCTTTCTGCTTTCATGTGTTTTCCTGCTGCTGTGTAGCTGTGATGATAAATGAGCTCGGCGGATCTAGAGAGAGCTTGCAGTGGAAAGAATAATGGGTATTTAAGCACACTTGTAAATTACCAACACATTCGTCTTCAACTGTCCCCTCAGGGACGTCTGACAGTGCAGCACACAGAGTATATAAAGCTCACGTACATCTGTTCCTCATAGCCTTATTGGATCTGCTGACATCACTTAAATACAAACTGTCACGCCATCCTCCATAATTCATACTTTGACAAAGCGCATAAAGCAGTCTTTGCTGTCTTTGCACCTGCATGCATGCATGTGTGTGTGTGTGTGTGTGTGTGTGTGTGTGTGTGTGTGTGTGTGTG